GATGACGTGACTTCATTCGGAGCGTCGTCTGCTAGGTGAAAGGGGATGAGAAGGGAACACAATAAAGTTATTGATGACACCTTCAACCCCCATGTACATTACTTCTGAACCACTGTGGGGTCCATATTGGATACTTTGGCAAGTTGAGTTTGTTTTCCTTCATCGTGCAAATTTTTCTTCTTTGACTATGCCAAGGATGCCTCCATCACTTGCAACCCTTATGGTGAAAAGTCCCAAATTCTCAATTGGCAACAAACTGGATTCAGGATGAAAACAACAAAGAACTTCAATATCCATATTATTACTGATCTCTCAGAAGCTCCAATACCTTCTTTGATTATTCTGTGCACCAGAAAAATACAGGAATGAAGAATGTATGGGTGCTGGATATGGCAGCATTGCCATCTGATGAAAAATAAAATCATTTGGGTTATTTTTTCTATTTTAATCAATGCCATCTCTCATCCTTACGTGTTCCTCCATCATATCGTCCTCTTGGCTCATATTAGATCTCATCATTCACCAAACAAGGATATCCAGGCAGTCAATTGTAAAATTCTTAATCTCAATAATCAACAAATAGTCAGGAATGCTTAAAGAATTTTCTCTAAAGCAGGAGTATGACAGTCATGCAAATTTTGATTCAAATACAGCCTGTTTTTTCTGCCAATACCCACATGCACATTCAAAATGTTACCTGGTGATGAGCACAATAGCCACTCAAAGTTTAAAAACATAAAAAATTGCAACATATTTCAAATTCAGGGCAGCAAATTTCAAGAATTCAAATGAGGAATGATTTAGCTGAAAAAAAGACCTCTTGATTTTATTTCAAAGCCAAGAGTGGAATATACTGTAGTACTGTACTTTCAAAAGCTGCTTGAAGGCAAAAAAAGCAGGACCTCCACAAGCTTCTTTTCATCATGTTGTATCAGTTTCAGACTTGATTCATAAATCATTTTTCCAATTTGCAAAATGTTGCTAACTTCAACTCCCACATGCCCTGCCCCTACATTCATTTGTCATAAATATAGTGTGAATATGCAGCATTTTCTCTAAATTATCCTCAGCACAAGTATTGCCTCAGATTCCATTGAGGCAGGCCTAACTGGTGAGCAACAAGTATTCCCATGCAATGAATAATCAAAAACACTGAAAATGCCAGAAATTTTGAACCTAAAATGTAAGGACATTTAAAAATACAATGCTCACTTTCATTCATATCAGAAAAATACTTTAAATTATTGAATATAGCTCAATTTCAGATCATCATTTTAACATCTCAAGATTTCAAAGGCATAAGTTGGTCTGAAGTCTGTGCTGGAGGATGCCAAGGAGTCTGAAGGAAATAATCAATCAGTACCTTGAGGTCATTGAAGATGGACAGGTTCTATGGATTCAGTAAAATATATTATTGCATCATGATTTTTAATCAACCTATGATTGCACTGCATTTTGAAAGATTTGATTTCTGCATCTGGAAGAAAAGTGACAATTTAGTCATTCCAAAATCCTTCCAACTTGGAAGAAATTTTTTCTCTTGCCAGATGAGAGAAAAAGTCAAATATTAGTGAACGATTTTGTAAAAAAAAATACTACAGGCATGGTGCTTATGGCTGCAAAGACTTTGAAAAATCCTTGATTGAGATGATCAGCTTCAAAGGATTTGTCAAAGCATTGTTCCATAAACAGGGATTTGGTTTTGATTGCCTTGCTGGAAAGTTCATGAAAAACTTGATATACCCTTAAGACATGATTCAGTTTGGGACCTTGTAGTATCAACAGTTACAGAAGGTCAACCAAAGCTCAAGGAAATCATGAAAGGAACTCCGTGCTATTTGAAAATGAGTGGAGCAATGCAGCAGAAATTGATTTTACCCAGCACTAACCCTACCAAACTGTGACTTGAACAATTGACTGACTGGACTGCATCCACAGAGAATCCTGCAAGCATGCATAGTGGCTTCAAGAATTCCAAGTGACAGGGTAAAAATGATTTCATGCTTCAAGTTAGTTTTGAGTGACCTTTGCATGAATAGGAAAGAAGTTTCACTGGCAGCCATCTTTTTCCAAGGCTTTACCAAGTAAATGCTTTGTAATTCTATTTTCATGGTTAGGTTGAAATGAAGACAAACAAAACATAAATTCAGGGAGGGTTAGAAGTAGGTCCAATAACCTCTTAAGAGGTTCTTATACCTCATTGACTGCAGATTGAGGAATCAACCAATGAGTCAAGATCAAAAATACAGACTTTCAACCAACTTTTTCCATTACATAATTGACAACTTGCAAAAATTCTAAACAAAGATATTTGCAAGGATCTATAGATTCAAAACTCCAAGTACTAGCAGAGGATGGTGGTATTCAACTGATTTTTGGGAGGAAGAGCAGGGGCTCTTATATCACTTGCCTTGGAATCTAATTGTTGTGGTCGAAAAACGTCAAAGAGTTTTTATATTTTGTTATTAATCATGAGCACATGCTCAAAAAGTGTTGGCCTATGAAAAGCAACTGCATGAATATAACAATGGCATACAGACATGTAGAGCACTTAATTTAGAGTTCAGGTGAAACTGTCAGAACCTTCATTTATTTCTTCTGTTGCCTCAATTGTTGACACTTGCATTTATGCACAAAACCTCAGCCAATGACAGTCAGAAAGCAGATCCCTCAAACTGTATAGTGCACACCAAGCATTCAACAAATTTATAAGTACACAAGGACTTCAACTGCTCCTGATTTCCAAAAAATATTCAGAAGCTGAATACAAGCACAAGTCGGTCCAAGGAGTTGAATGTTTTCTATCAACCTGGAAGTCATTGCTGAAGCAGGTGTTTTACAAAGGAAATCTGAAAAAGACTAACCAAATGCTTCATCATTTCCCCCAAAACTGTCTTGACCAAGTTGAATCTTATTATAATGCAGCTATAGTGGGACTTGAAAAATAGTTTTTTTGCAACAAACAATTTGCTTTCAAGTAACTCATTCATCATTGCAAATACAGTATCAGTTTTAGGTCCTTGTAATACAAGGACCTAAAAAACAACTTCTTTGTGAGCAACTATTCATAACAACATTATTCTAAACTTCCAAAAAATACTTGATATTGGCTGATAGAATAATACAATAATGTAATATATTGGCTTCTAGTGTAATACTGTGCATTATTCATACAATACAATGATACATATTCCATTTTATTTTCAAGTTCTTGATCAACCTTCATGATTTCAATTGGCTTTTAAACATGATGAAAAATGTGCTTTCATGTCAAGCATTTCAAATTTAACTTATTTCTAGTTCTATCCTGACTAAATGTACATACTCCTTCAACCTTTCATTCAGACATGATGAAATAAAGTGATGATTGAATAAAGACCAACAATAAGAAGTGAACTTCAAAGTTTACAACAAAGTTTTCAACCAGAATGTACCCGCTCAATGTTCTCCTCATCACAATAAGGAGCATATACAATTACAAGAGCAAGATAATGGGCAGAATAAATGCTTATCTATTCCCAGTGAGATTCCCAAACCATCCAACAAATCAAACAGGCAAGAATTAACATTTGATCCACAGGTCATCCGCATAAATCACAAGTATTGATCAATACTGGGTACTTTTCTGTTATCTCAGTACCTACTTTCTGCGCACCTACCAGAAACCATGAATTTCATTTTTCTGCATTCTGCTGAAACTGATTTTGGGAGGCAGTTAGGTAAAGTAAGGTTAGGTCAGGTTATGTTAGTTACAAATATCTTTCAATGAACATAACCTGACCTAACCTAACAAATAATGAATTCACCAGACAAAGAAAAATGGGTACTGAGGTAACAGGAAAGTATCCAACACTGCATCCATAAAGCTCAAAGTCCTTTTGGAAAACTTCACTAATTCCATCAACAAACGGTTTATGTAGACCGGCAAAATACTTGGTCATAGTGGATGGTTCAATTGTTTTTCCATCTTTCTCAGCAGCATCACATACTTCCTCCACTGAATTAGTGACTTGATTCAGTGAAGGACCATGTGCTGTTCATGAAGTCACTCATTCCTGCCATTGGGGGACACATTGGAAGGGAACAGCCCTCTAGCTAGGAGGACAGCAAGGAAGTGAATGGTGTTGAGTTGGAAAGTGTACCATAAGGTCAGGGCTGAGGTAATCCAAAATATTTTGCAAATTACGCAGGAAAAATACTTGAACCTCAGCAATTCCTTGGATGGTGCCGTTTATGTGGACCTCATCTGTAATAACTTCCGTAACATTCCCATACAGTAGGATTAAATCGTATTTTATTCTTGAATGCGTGAAGTGCAGTATTGTCAAGTTTGCATTCTGCGGTAACCGCCTGAAACACACGCCCACAGTATCAGAAAGTGAAGGATAACAAGCGCCCAACACTGTGTTACATTAGGTTTCCATTCCTCGGAAGCTGTAAACATGCAATGAACTTTCGTTATACGCCTTTGTGAATCAAAATTTCCAGGTCCAGTGTTTCCAATGAGGTTCTTCGCAGTGTGCATGCTGCTCTTCATTTCGAAATTAGCCGATGCTCGCTCCTCACCGCTATCTTCAGAAGATCACGCGGTTGTCTTAAGAGAGCGTGAAGCCCGTGTACTGGGCATGTGCAAGGAATATTACTCCTCCGGCAATGGCTCATCATCATCCCTGGCACCAGTAGATGCCGATTGTGATCCTGTGACTTCCAACGATGCTCGAAAGCTCGTGTTCGACTACAAGCTTTACGGATGCCTTCCGAGGGGCACGGGGAGTCGATTCTGGGATGCCACATTCTCAGTCATCACTCGTGATCTGATGAAACGAGGTTCCCCGGATACGCCCGAGAAATACCTGGTTTTCATGTCCTGTCGGCATCCATTTCAGCGAATTGCCATGGCCTACGGTGTGGAAGCACGACGAGCTGAGGAAGCTGGGAAGTCTATCGTTTGTGAGTACAGTATACTCTTTGGACTTGCTGAGTTTTATGTGATGACTGTTTTTCTTTTTCTCAATTGTTCCTGCTCAGTGCCGTTCACCAAATTCGTGGAGAAAGATGTGATCAATGCTGGTCTGCGCGGATCGTGGAAGAATCCGTATTTGAAACCCTGTCACTTGGAATGTAACCCCTGTTGTACTCATTTCGACGTTATTGGTGACTTTGCTACACTTGCCGAAGATTTTAACTACATCAAAAAGTCTCAGGGACTTGATTCAGTGAGGGAAGTGCGTGATGCTGCTGAGAAAGATGGAACAACAATTGAACCGTCCACTATGACAAAGTATTTCGCCGCTCTACCTAAACCGTTGGTTGATGGAATTATCAAAGTTTACCAAAAGGACTTCGAGCTTTATGGATACAGTGTTGATCAATACTTGTGATTTATGCGGATGACCCTGCGGATCTGATGTTAATTCTTGCCTTTTTGATTTGTTGGACGGTTTGGGAATCTCACTGGGAATAGATGAGCATTTATTCTGCCCAGCTTGTGTCATTTTATTTGCTCCTTGTGATGAGGATCACATTGAGCAGGAAACTTGAGTCTTTACTGGTTCGTCTTTATTCAATCATCACTTTATCCCAGCTTGTCTGAATGAAAGGTTCAATGAGTATGTACATCAAGTCAGGATAAAACTAGAAATAAGTTAAATTTGAAATGCATGACATCAAAGCTCATTCTTATCATGTTCTAAAGCCAATTGAAATCATGAAGGTTGGTCAAGGACTTGAAAATAAAATGGAACATGTATTGTTTTGTAAGAATAATGTACAGTGTTCCACTAGAATCCAATATATTACACTATTGTATCATATTATCAGCCAATATCAAGTTCTCTTGGAAGTTTAGAAGAATGCTATTAGGAATATTTGCTCACAAAGAAGTTGTTTTGGACCTCATATCACAAGGACGTAAAACTGATACTGTAGTTGCAATGATGAATGAGTTGCTTGACAGGAAATTGTTTGTTGCAACAAAGCTATTTTGCAAGTCCCACTGGCTGTATTATAATGAGATTCAACTTGGTCAAGACAGTTTTGGGGGAAATGATGAAGCATTTGGTTAGTCTTTTTCAGATTTCCTTTGTATAACACCTGCTTCAGCAATGGCAATGTTGATTGAAAACATTTAAATCCTTGGCCTGATGCTTGTATTCAGCTTCTGAATAATTCTTTGGAATCAGGAGTATTCGAAGTCCTTGTGTACCTATAAATTTGTTGAATGCTTGGTATGCACTGCACAGTTTAAGGCATCTGCTTTCTGACTGTCACAGGCTGAGGTTTTGTGCATAAATGCAAGTGTAAAAAATTGAGGCAACAGAATAAATCAGAGAAGGGGGTTTGGTTGTGGAAATCTTGATTGAAACTTAAGAACGCTGAAAAGTGGCAAATAAAGTGTTCTGTTTATTCATTCAGAATGAATAATTGAAGGTTCTGACAGTTACGTTCTCACCTGAACTCTAAACAAGTGCTCTACATGTCTGTATGCCTTTGTTATGTTCATGCAATTACTTTTCATAGGCAAACACTTTTTAAGCATGTGCCCATCATTAATGACAAAATATGAAAAATCTTTTGAGGTATTTTGATCAGAATAATTCATCTTGAATGTTTCCTCTTGCTGGCCAACACACCATGACAGCTGATTCTTGGATAATCTAGAACTTTTCCACAATTTGTGCAGGTCCACTGGCCATCAGCACTGATCCACAAAAGTATGTTTGCCAGGTTGCAGGACATTTTCTTCAGCATATTAAATTGGTCAAAAGTAAAAATGAAGTCTGCAATCCTTATTTGAAATTCTGGACAGAAAATGGTTGTTCAAAATATCTGATGAAAAATGTAAGTTGGTTTTTCTCCCAAGTATTCTTCAGACAAATCTCCACCTGCTGAAATGTATTATTTTCATTTTTCATTCTGTAAATCCTTCCTTAATGCCCACCACCGGTAGTTGCTTCACCGGTTCTTAACTTAATTATTGCAATAAACATGCTTCAAGTGGTTCCACACATCTTTCCAGAATGAAGACTTTCAAATCATCCTCCAAGAATGAAGAGGTTGGTGCAACTGATGGATTGCATGAGCAAAGCAAAATTTCTTCCAACACAAGATCACTGAGCTTCTCAAAACAAGAATAAACAATCTGAAAATTTGAAAAAAGGAAGATTCAATTGATTATAAACAGATCTAATGCATGAAATAATTTCAGTCATTTGGCTAGGAAACTATAAAGCCGAGCGTTTTCAAACTTTCCCACCGATGAATCCCTGCAGTTGGAACATTACAAAACAAATGCACAATAATAACTCAACAATCTGCCAATTCAACAAGATAATCCATCAAACTATGGAGATTTCAATGCCCAATCTATCATCACATGTACAGGAAAAAATAAATTTATATTTTATGAAAGAGATATATATGATGAAATGGCATCACAGATCACGAAATAGACGGCTATAAATGATGTACAGTACCTCACTGCAGAGAATATGTCACACTATTGCTGCAATTCAAGCAAGAAGCTTAATTACTTACTATAAAAATCAAGTGACGTATTCTGATGCTTCTCTTGTATCATTGATCAAGAAGAATTCAAAATGAATTTCACATGTGAAATAGGTGAACATCTTATTGAGATAAATATTTTGCAAGATTTTAAAAAATGTCACTTTCCACCATGAGAGCACCTGATTTATCAATTCATCCACAAAATACTGAACACCCATCAAATCTGGGAAGAAACACTGCAGAAGCTTGATTCTGCTTTATTAACAAAATCATGTTTTCACGGAAAAAAAATAGCACTTTTCAACAGCTGACGACAATTCTCCTTTAAACAACCAGCAGCTCAAATTCTCACCCTTTCAACTTGATTTTCACATCTTCCGGAATTTTACACAATATCCTTTTCTGTGCATCAGGACACACACTGGCAATCACACCCAAGCGATTCAAGTGTTCCACATCCGGTGAATAATCATATCGACTGCCAAACACGTCAGTCAACAACCCTCCAGCTTCATTCAAAAGGACTTCCGGTCCACAAGTGTCCCACTTTTTGCATCCAGAGCTGGGATACACGTAGTAATTCGCTTTTCCTTCCAGAAGCATGAGCACCTGCAAAAGAAAAATTGACATGCCACATAACTTCACTCTAGATCAGTGATTCCAAGCTTTTTTTGGGCCCACACAGACCAGCAAATTTTTACAAACATTTTTTTGCAGACTGGCAAAATGACATGGAATTTGTGCAGACTCCAAGAACTTTTTCTTAAAGGACTTCATGGCAGGCAATGCAAAAAATCACTTTTGCCATAATCAAGTTTGGAAGCATTAAAGCCAATATAGTGGAATGTCTTTTAAAAATTAAAATGGTGGGCTTGAAGAAATGTTTAACTGAATTAAAAATTGAAATACATATTTTTTCAATCAGGTGAACATTTGTCTGAAGTTTTCTTGAGGGGAAAAAGCCAAATTTCATTCTTCATCAGGTAATTTCAAATGCTATCATCTTTCCAAAATTTCACATGAAGATAAACTTCATTCCTACTTTTGATGAATCTTTCAAGCTCAAGAAAATTTCTTGCAGCCCAGCAAGAAATTCTGACATCAGGGACACTTGAAAAACCCTTTTAAACAAACGAACCTTATTCCCACAGCCGCCAGCATAAATGACCTCATCTGGTGTAATGCTTTCACTAGCCTTGACAACGTGAGGCGCTTGATGAGATCTAGATGTCACCACAATCGTTTTTGAACTCGCGGCTCTTTCAATGGCTTGGAAGGGATGGCAAGTCAAGACAGTTGGGGTTCCAAGAGTACCCACGGTTTCCCCAATGCCCATTCCACAAATGCCCCACACTGTTCGACCCACGAGCTCTTTGTCGTTTCCTAAACTTTTCCAAAAGGGTTGATGAACGATCCCAGCCACGGGTTTCCCCATCAGTGCAACGCCAATTAGAATAGTGACGTGTTCCACCAAACCTACAGAAAAAAAGGCCAAGAAGTGGATCATTGAAGAAGTCAAAAATAAAAGAGGGGTACAATTTGGCATACTGTGGATCATAAAAATTCAGATATAGGGTATTGGATTCAGGTAATTCATTGGGGAAGATGTCAACTAGTTAGGGTAACTGGCAAAAAACTCCCCAAGGCCATTACTTGGCAGTTGGGCATAACTGCCTTGACAACTCCCTCCAGGGAAAGGAATTCTGGCCTTAAAAAATGGAAAATGATAGTATTGAGAGAATACTGAACGAAAGAATGATATTCACTGGTTTATTGCAAATATATAAAAATTATGAGGGGGAGTACATGGATAAAACTAATTGGGAAACTTTACAGAAAGTCATCATAGGCAATTCATACTTGATTTCAACAGGAAATTTTGTTGAACAATTTTTTACTCACTGAACTCACTGGAAATTAATTCCATTTGGGTTCAATACATGTCCAAATTTGAACTTTAACGCGCTTAACTCCTGAAATGTTGCAACGGTTCTGTCACTGAAAATAATGGAGGTAGCATCTCACTCAAAGATACGATGAGAAAATAGGGCATAAATTTTACTCATCCACCCAACCAAACGACGACATCTTCCACATTTACACTCTTCAAAGCATCCGGACACTCTTTCCCTTCGAAAGGGTCAAAGACAGTCTCCAACACGGGTTTCAATTCACACCGTTGCACCAAATCACGCACTCGATCATCCTCTTCACCGATGATCTTAATTACAGGAAAAATATCACTAATCGAGCTCTCAATGATGCCCTGCGATGACAAATCCGCTGCCGTGTACACGTCCAACTCCCCATCGTGACCTGGCTGAAACCAAAACAACAACGTTCACTCAAATCCCGAAGAAGGTCACCAAAAAGTTTCTTTTTAAGAGAGGAACACACCTTTGAAAGCGCTTCAACGTCTCCCGACTCGAGAAGCTTCCGAATTTCAAGTCCTGCTTGGTGAGCAGCAGCAATTGAGCGATGCACCAAACGTAGAATGAAAGGAATGCTCGTATTCAAGGCAGCAGCCATCGTTGGAATGCGAAAGAACTAACTTATTTCGAGACCAGAAGAAAGATTTTCATTACAATCAAATTTCACGGAAAATATTTCAAACGCACTCACATCAGAAAAATTGTCCGCGCGTCACGATGACGGAAAAGGCGCTTTCACGGCCAAATCCATTCTTAAACACGTATTTCCCTATGTTTCCTGTCGAGGAATAAACACTGGGGATGAATTTAACCGCAATACGACGAACATACGGTAACACAAAATGCATCGCACACGAACTTCCATCTTTTCTTACACAAGGCTCCAACATTTCCATAAGCTAATTACAAGCGGTTAAACTATGTCAAGAAGAAAAAGACGACTTCAGTCTTCGCAAAAATGTCAGAGTATCAATAATACACGTGAAAAAATGCCAAAAAATCTTGCAAAACATGGAAAGGCACAGCGTAAACACTAAAAAAAAAAAGCTTCGTCAGATTACAACAAGATACTCATACACTTTCAATCACCGGGAGATGAGCGAGGTCCTTCTTTCAGGATTCTAGAGCAGAACACCAAGTGCTTTTGGGTAAAAAATATTGTAATGCCGTATATGAACATCATTAACATAGTTTCTCGGTGCGAATCGAAAGTTTTCGACACGCTCATCGCGAAAAAATTTTTTTGCTCAAAATGTCTCTCGCATCAGCTACACATACGAACAATTATATCCTGCGTGTCTACGAATTAATATACCGAACAAAGAGCTGCATATTGAAGAAAACGTGGAATCTTGAGCAAGATTAACGAAGAAAACCTTCGGCAAAGTCACGCATCTTCATGATCAGACGAAGGCGGTGGTGGAGGCGGTGGATCAGTGGGAGGATCTGCGGAGTTGATTCCGATATCTTTGTCTTTCTCGCCAAGAATAACTTCGTCGCTTTTATCCTTCGGCAAAATTGAAACCTTAATACCCGAAGAATGCGTTTTTAATGTTGGTAAGACTCACTGGAATAGCCGTTCCGTTTGCGGGATCCTCAGAAACCTTCTCGCAAGCAACACTTTTCACTTCTGCACCACTGTTCGCGTTAACCTCGGATTTTTGGGTGCTTTTCTGCTCGTCGTCGTCTTCAGATTCCTTCGTCCCAGGTGCTCCAGTAACTTGTTCAGCAGAGAGATTCTAACAAAGAAGATTACGAGTGAATTAATTTAATCACTCCTGCGAAAAATAACAGGAAACACACCACATTGTCGTTCGAATCTTCAGGAGTTGCTTCGACGTTTTTATGCTTCTTTTGCTTATTTTTCAAGAAACTCAAGCTTCGGAAAGACAATTTCTTCTTTCCTTTTTTCGCCTTGGATTCCTCGCCATTTTCTGTAGAGCCAGATTTGCTTTCCACCGATTTTACCGATTTGGTCTCGTCCTGAAAAGAAAACAGTACACATTAAGTGGACCATTTCAAAAGGATCACAAACCCAAATATACCTCTGTTCTTTCATCATTTGATACTCCAGCAGACTCGTCAATGTTCAGAGTTTCTTTTCTCTCAGTTGCACCATCAGCGTTTCTTTCCAGGGAATCACAAACCAAAACTTTCGCATCTTCAGGAACTGCTGCAACAAGTTCATCTGAAGTATCCTTCTCGACTTTTGACGATATATCAAGGGATTTCCGACTGGCGGCAACACCCATCTTCAGTAAGATTGCAATAGACGGGTCAGGAAAGCAACAGATACACCATGGAATGAATACAGGATGTCACGGAAACCTGTCACAGAAGGAACGAACTGGTCAACAACATCGTACTAGTGTTTTTCATGACATGAATGTCAACAGTTGGTTAAAACAAATGCATGAAAAGTGAGCGTGACGTCCGAAATAAAATTTCAAGGACCGAATATCGTTACTCAAGACAGAGAATATCGTTACTTCAAGAAAAGCCAGAGCTATCCTAGTTGGGGGGACCCAGACTACTAGCTCCATCTACAATAAACAGTGCTTACTCCCTTTCACGCGCACCTAGCCCTTGTACACTCCAATTCTACAGCTCTGCTGTGCTGCCGGTGAGGTACACTATCCTCAGCCTTACCACCCGTCCGATTTTATTCTCTACAAGCTGGGGGTGCCCAGCCACACCTGGGCATCATGTCACATTTTTGGTTAGGAAAAATTGAATGTTTTACAGATTTTAATGGGTGTAAGAAGGTATGCCCAAGCACAACTGGTTATTATTACACAAATTATGTGGAAAATGAAAAAATTGTATTACTAAAGCTGGTTAATGTTGAAGGATTTGTAGTCATATTTACGACCACAACACCCTTCACTTTACGCGTGACCCTTTTAAGCTAATGTGTTTCCGCTACGCTTGGCTGCACCTGGCGCGCTAGCAATTATATTTCCCAATCCCGTTGTTGACGGAATTCTTTTTCAACCGCGCTCACGCTTCCTTCCTTTAAAGAAACGAAGCGTGACGTCCCCGATCCAAATCGGCTCTCTATGCGCGTCCCGTGACCGTGGCCAGCTGAGGCTATATATACAGGTGCATTTTATGTTGCTTTAAGTTGATCGCACCAGACCTTGTCCGAACGCTGACTCTACGCCGCTTTGCTCTGTAGAACGTATTGTTATC